CCGGTTAGCCCACACCTAGTCTCGGGGTCAGCACAACAGCTGTGAAAGCGCCCAAGTAATTACCTCCAAGTAATGGCAGGGAGGAGGCTGCCCTAGGCAGGGGAGATCTTCCTGGGGCTCCTGCAAGGGACTGCTCTGAAGCAGGATTAGGACTGAACACTCTGGTTGTATTTGCAGTCGCCTGTAGAGATTTCAAGGTGTCTCTGCTCCTCAACAGTTGGGTTGCATGCCAGAAGCCTGATGTGCACATTTGATGGCTGTTTTCCAGCAGGCAGAGAACAGGGCTGGCTTTAGGGCCAGAGACTGCCTGCTGAGCCTCCACCCCGGCACATCTGAGTGCAACAGGAAGAAGGGAGGATGGAGCAGTATGAAACATTGCCTTGCTGTAACTTGAGCATCCTCCTTCCCCAGGGAACATGTAAATGCTGGGAAACGTGTGAGACTGGAAAGGTGACTGTCCCATGGGACATAAGGCCTGTCTCCATAGAAGAGCTCTTAGCTTACCTTCTTGAGGGTGTTGCAGTGGGACTTCCAGGATGCTTATTTCCCTGGTAGAAAAAGCTCTTTTTTTTTTTCCTTTGTTCTGAGTGACAGTCTCTTTTCTCGTGTATTTTATTCTGCTTCAGCCTGGCTCAAGTGGTTTCTGCCCAGTGACTGAGTGAAGAGCAACCTGGCTGGCAGTGCTGAAGTTGTTGTCAGAGCTGTTGCTCTTGGCTGTCTCAAGCTGCATTAATGCCAACAGACAAAATCCTCCCTTGCAGCTCTTACTCCTGGCAGTGCTGCAACACTGCTCCAGGATAATCAAGGGCTGACTTCCATCACAGTCAGTGGAAAACACCCTTAAAACAGAGCTGCACCTCATGTGGATCCCATGCTTTTCTCCTACAGGCTGCAAGGGCAACTGGAGCCAGCCCTTGTCCCAGCTGTCTGCCCAGCCTTTCTTCAGGGTAGTGCTGAGGGTGGTAACAACCAATCCTCCACGGAGACTTCCAGAGTGGGAATAAGATGAAGTCTTGTTGCTGTACTTGTTTTATTATTTCAGTTATTACAGATAAGCGGAAAACACCGCACAGAAGGCCAGAGCAAGGGCTGTCCCGATGCCATTTACAATGTGGTAACTACCACGCATTTGCACCCAGATTTGCCATGAACTAGCATGTTTTCATCTGTGCTCTCCCCACACAGGGCACAGCAGGCTTCCTCCCCTTTCTTTGAGAACAGGGAAGGGGCAAAGTTTACCTCAAAGTGGTGGGGAGTTCTGATGGGAGCATGTGATAGGGACAGGCCTGTGCCAAGTGAAGGAAGCAGGTTCAGCAAGTGAAAATCCTTAACCGTGCAAGCACCACACCTGAGGGAACCCAGCCAAGTGCCTGCAGCAGTTCAGAAACATGCTCCAAGCATCTCGGTCCTGTATTGTGGGGGTTGGTAAGCAGCAAAGAGGTACAAATATGCCTCAGCAGACTACCGCAGCCAGAGAGATGCATCGAGCTTGACTGGATTTCACTCCTGTTCCTTGAGTCCCAAACAAACCCAGTGCTGTAGAGCAGAGGTGGGACAGCGGAGAAGGAATTTCATGTCACCAGAGAAGTGAACAGGTTGATCTCTTGGAGGACAAAGGCCATGCTCTGCTCAAGCACACTCGGACCCTCTTGGCCTTACATCCTAACAACAACCAGCAGAGTACTCCTTTAAATTAAGGAAGCACAGACCTTGCCGGAGAAGCTGCCCTCCGGTACCCACTTCCACATCAGCACTATCTGCTTGTTTCAACACCCAGTTCAAGAAGTACAGACTAAAGCCCCCTCCATCTTCCAGCTAAATAAGACTCTGTTGGCATCCCTCCAAGCTGATGCCGGTGCAGCCAACAGGAAAGTTGTACCTCCAGTGACAGCTGAAACTTGATGTGTCATCTCAGTTGTTGAGGAAAAGTAGTGGAGAGTTTTTTGCAGGATGGCCACTCTGGAGACCCAGCAGACGGCTGCCTACTAGTGAACAGTCCTTTCCTTCTGTCTCTGGTAATCTGGAAGGGAAAGATAAGGCAAGGCTGAAAGGGCAGGAGCAGCAGTCACTGATGACAAAGGGGAATTAGCCAAAATATTAAAGGAAAACATATATTCTGTTTATACCTCACTAAGTAGAGGCAGTGTTTGCAATCCTCTTGGGTAGCAGCTGGCTTTAAAAATAGCACATTCGCACCCCAGCCAGTCATTTCAAGTTTTATCAGGGCATTTAGAACAAAAGTTTGTTTGAATTTCTCCCTTCCCCTGCTCTGTATTTTTCTTCTTTCTTCACTTAAGGGTCAGTTTCCATTTTATGAGGAATCCTTGTTTGGCTTGACTTGACCTCTCCCCACCCCGCCCCTTATATCTATGAACTTTATGGGTGCAGAAGCTGAGAGTTAATACAGTCTTTTCCATCAATCAGAATTTAAACATCCTTAGGGAGGGATAAAAACCACAAGCAGTGTCCACCATCAGCATAGGTCCACTAGCAATTAGACAGAACTAATTCCTTTGTTATTCAAGGATAAGTAGCTGTTTCTACATTTCTCAAGTTAATGTTTCCATTCAACAGTCATCTCAGCTTTTAGCACTGTGTTGCTAAGCCCTGCTCTACAAGTTTTTCTATGTGGGCAGCTGAAGCCAGTCCTTACTATTTTGACTTGGTGGCTGTCCTGATCCCCAAATCAAAGCCCAGTGTTCTTTCTGATCTGCAGGCTGCTAGCTTAACACCGTCTATGACATTAGACTCGTAACTGCTAAGCTTAGGTAGAATCATCAGGGAGGCATGGCAGTCTGCCTCCCAAGGAGAAATGCTGCTAGGTGTCTGGGCTCGGAGCTAGCAGGCACTTACTGTAGGGGAAGTAACGCACGCGCATGGTGATTTCACGGGCTGTCTTCAGGATCTCCACAGCCTGAAAGCAGAGAGAGTTGCTCAGTGACCAGACTGGGCTGGAGGATAGGAAAAAGGAATGCATCAGTTATGTAGTTCCAGCAGCTGAGTTAGTGCAGGCTGAGAGGCCGGAAGAAGATGGTGTATGCACGGACTCTCCATCCTGTCCCTGCTCCAGCAGCTGGGCTGCAGGAGTGCTCACCTTGCTGTGCTCAATGTCCTGGAAATCCACATCATTCACCGAGAGCACCTGGTCCCCTTCCTGCAGCCCAGCTCTGTGTGCGTCCGAGTCAGGGATCACCTGTGAAGGGAAGAGCAGATGCAGAAGCAGTGACTCTCTGCAGAGCCAGTGCCGCAGCTTCCCTCCCACCCAGCTAAGACAGCCCAGCCCCAGAGCTGCCCCATGGTGCCTCCTCACACGGGACTGGGGCACACTAGCAACACCCCATGGGCTGGGGAGAGATCAGGACATGGTGCAGGACTATCTGATTGCTGCTTGGTGCATGGCAAATTACAGCTATGAGTTTGGAGATGCATATAAGGCATATGACAGTCTCCCTACATAGCCAGCTGGCTCAGCAACACCCAAGGGAACAGACAGAACACAGGGAGGCAATAGCAGAGGGACAAACACACCTTAGAGATGAAGATCCCCAGCTGCGAGGCTTTTCCTCCCCGAATGTTGAAGCCCAGCTGTGAGAGAAAGTGCAGTGAAATGCAGCAGTGAAATGCAATCCCTTTGGCCCAGGACCCCTCCTGCTGGCAAGATGTTTCTTCCGGAGGGAGCAAAGGTGTTGGCGCTGCAGCGTTCGGCCAGGCAGCAGGAAGCACCAGTCCCCCTCTGCGAATTCCTGTGGCAGTCTCACCTCGAACACCCTCGGGGCCCCTTGCTCCCTGTCCTTTACCGGCTCCACATCGCGACATCCTGCGCCGCCCTGCCTCACCCACACGGCTTTCTTCTCCCCCTACAGGCACGGCCCGTCCCAGCAGAGCAGCGGCCATGCCTCCCCTTACCCCAGCCGTCCTCCCGAGTCCCTGGATGAGGACGGTACTAGGAACCTGCCCGGCCTCCCTGGCCGCACTCAGCAGGTATCTTGCTAAGAGAATGTGGGGGATGATCGTAATTATAACAATTATCATTAGCCCGCAGCTCGGCCTCTGAAATCTGCTGATTTTTTGGGCCAGGAAAGGCATTGGGAACGACGAGCGTGAATCAAACACGGAAAACACCAGTCCGAGGAGACCCCCGCAACTCCCCACGGCGCCCGTTGGGCTGCGCGGCCACCGGGCGCGGGGGGCCGCGGCGGGGGGTTCAGTGGGGTCTCACCTGCGCCCCGGGCGGCTTCTTCAGGACGATGGTGCGGGGCAGGAACTGGGTGAGCTCGTTGTTGTAGTCGGGGTGGTACACCCTCTGCAAAGCAACGCGCCGGCGGCCGTCAGGCGGCGGGAC